GATAAATCGGATGCATAGCACTGAACATAGCTAAAGAAGAAGAGAAGTTAAATTTTTTATCTATTATCCATTCTAGTCTTGTCTAATACCGATTATCAGATGAGCTCTAAAGGATATATTTGTCAGTGGTTAATATATTGTTTAGCCTTAATGAAGTTGCTCCTAACTCAGCCACGGCATTACACCGTTGATAAACTAAGATATAATCTCCAAAACTGTAAAAAATTACCAAAAATAAAAAAATTGTTTCAATGGAATTTGGAAGAGAATATGAAGCACACAAGTAAAGGCGAAAAAAATAAATAAATAACAAGAACAGGGATATGTGATTTCAGGTATTCCACTTACATTCAAGTATTGGAAGTGATTTTTCCAGGCAGTTAGATTTGTATTCCAGAAATGAATGAACATCCGGATATTGATAGTTCAGATGATATCCAAATGGAAGACATCTTTGAAAGCAAACAATGTCCCCATCCACAAGCTGCACAAAAGAGGAAATTTAATAGGAAAAGCCTGTCCAAAGCTTAATTTGGATAACGATTCTTGACAATTACCTTGGTAGATTGAAATGTTGAATTCGGCTCTATGCGTTCACATGCAACATTAGCTCCAAACTTCATTTCCTGAGTACAATGAAACAAAACTAAGATACTTCATACTTGTAATGAACAAAAGAATTCAGGTTTATGGATGTGCATACCTTAATCAACATTCTAATAATTCGTAACAATGCAAGTATAGACTCACTTGCCTTGACAATAATGACAGTAATAACCCAATTAAAACATGCAGAAAGTGGACGCTGTATTCTAAAAATATTTAAGAAAGAACATGCACCTGTACTAATATGCTAAATTTATGATGTCCATGTTAAACCATGACACCAATAAATATGCTAAACTTAAGATGCCCTTGTTAAATCATGAGACCAAGAAGTACACCGTTCAATAAATAATGCAGCTCAAGTTGCTGCAGCTTCTAGTTTGATATAATTGACGCATTGCTATCCAACTGCACCAGTATAGGTGGTTGGCACTCGTGAAATTATTGGTTCAATTAAGTAGAAGGATACGAGAGGCTGGAATGCTAGGTAGAATTATTCTTTGCACAAAGGTTCAACAGAAACATGGCCTTGAAGATTATCCAAGTACGTTAAGGACCGAACCTCGTAAAGTTCAATCTCTTCATCGGGAGCATAGCCAACCATTGCATTTAGTTTAGCAAAGATATCAGTCGGCTTACTAGTGGACTTCACAAAAAGTCTTCCCACAATCCTGGCACCATAAAGAAAGAAACACTTGTGTCAAGAAACAAAAAAACTTGGTGAAAATTGAATGCAGAAAATCAATCTCTCTCTACAAGTGAAGAAGCCGATGAATGATTACCTTAGCTCCTCAATCTCGGGATCATAAAGCTTGAAAAAGAGTAGAATGTCATCTTCTGTCTTGTTAGGTGGAGGAATAGGATGTAGATCCTAGATCATCACGCAGAAAATCAACAACACTGTTGATAATAACGAATTTATTAATATTACTTTTAGGGCATGCTTGGTACTTGGACAATGCTCAACAGTACAATGGACAATATTTTCACTAATTTTTCATTTTTCAATCCCAGTGAATGCATCCAGTCCAACATTCCAAACACGCCGTTTACGTCTAAACTTGTAAGACTACAGTCACTATGTTACCGATCCAAGCTCTACTTCTAAGAACAACTTCAGCACTTCATCAAAAGTATTGTTAGATGCTTCCTTCAACTGTCCAATCTACAATTGAAAATCTATGATTAGATTCAGCAGAAAAAGAATTCTATCAACTGTCAATATGCTGTATCAGCTTACATAATTTAAGTGTCGTGATATTTTTAGTATTTTTAATAAGTTTTGAGAAGGTATTCTAATCTATTTGGCAGTTTTTTACCTTTCAATTTTTTTTTTTTCAATTACTGTTTTCTGGTAAAGTAAATATAACTCTAGATTGAATGGAGTGATAAAAAAATAATTCAACATTTTTCTTCTTAATTTTAGTAGCCAATGATGGTGGTGGTGGTGACTATTAGTTTAAAGGCAATACCATGCAGTAGCTAGTGGTTGAAGAACAGATTACCGAAAAGGCAAAGATGGAGAAAAGAACCAAATGGAAAAAATATAATGTATGACAATATATATCGGTTTCACCTTCTGTACTGTCATGATTGATAGTCAAATTTGAAAAACTAAAAATTTCAAGATCAGAAGTTGCACAGGAAAGCGATTTTTAGAATTTATGAAAGATAGATCACATGCCACTTGCTCTAATTACTAGGAATGTAATTTCTCAAGGAAGAACAGCATTGTACAATGACATATCTTAAATTTATATCAAAAGTGTAAAGCAATATAATCTATCTGCTGTGGAAGTACTCAAAAGCAAACAGAATGTTACAGTTTGGCCTTCCTCAACATGTGTCAATGGCCCATTAAGACGACGTGTATGGTTTTGGTGTTTTGCCCAAAGCCAAAAACGTTGACATTTCACCGGCACACCAAATTCACTAGCAACTTTTTCCTGCAAACAGCTTCATGATTAGACATTATCACAGTTGCTACTAGATAACGGCGCATTCTAGGAACTCGATCATGCTTGTCTGTGTTACAATATAAAGGAAATACTGAAGGAACTTGTTGAAGACATAGATCATTATGGAAAGCCAACGAAGGTAGCGTTCAAGTCTCGTTGTCAACCATTAATGAAAAGTGCGCATGTGCCACAAATCCAGTCTGCATGTAAGGGGGAATTTGAAGACAAAATTTACATTTTTCTAGTAGATCAAAGTTTTAGATGAGGTGGTGCAACAGAACTAGTAGAGAAGGTCAATATTGTCTTGCCACTCATTTTTAATCTCATATCAACCAATCAATCACCTAATGTGAGATCTATACTACCACTCTTGAGGACTCTTGCAGAATGCAATAATATGATGGTCACTAAATATTGGGGCAGCATGCTGATTTCATCACGAGTTTAGCCGTCATATACACTGTGGTAACGTTCGGTGCACCGCATAAAAAATGCAGTATAAATTATAATAAATATGACTAGGTAGAGGGTCTTATGGTGGATAATACTCTTTCTATCTTCATTTAAAAGAATTTCACTTACTATCTCAATTTTTAACTGGCTATACCCACCTCCAACCTCCTCATTATGCTATAAGGTTGATAGTGCCTATCTTTTGAATGAAAAATAAAGAATACTATCCACCTTAATTTACCATAATACCATCTATCTGGTAATATCTGTTTAGACTAAATTAATTATACGGCTTAATCCAGTGCACCAAAGGTAGGCTATATGTGCAATGGTTACGTAATACAACAGACACATAAAAAACATGGGCCACCATTCCTTCCCTAGAAAGGCAATATACTGCACTTATCATGACCAACTATCTTTCATAATTATTTGATGGCAGGGTTGATGATTTGAAATTCCTACTTGTCCAGAATATGCAATCATAAACGAACTCATTTGTTATTGATGTGAATTTTTGTCCCATATTATCAAGGCTAGGACGTGAAGGAATATGTATCTCTTGGAATCTAATATAGGTTAATAGAGGAAACCGCCCTCGACGACAAGCAAGATGGATCACAGCACTTCGACGCGAGGTCGTCGACCTCCTAGAGGCGATCCACCACTACCTCTAGGGGGTGCTCTACCACTACGCGAAGTCATCGACCCCCCTAGGGGCGCTCTACCACTACGCGAGGTCTACAATTGGAATGGGACTGCCTGTCCAAACACTTAACCATAAAACTCCTAGTGAATTAACTAGGTTCCATAGCTGCTAATACGGAAACAATCTCCAGGCAGGAAACTAGAGATCCCCCACTCAGAACGTGGGCATAGTGGGAACGCCAACGTGGGACACGTGGCACCACATCCGCCCAGCGGTTATCCG